CTCGCACTCCCTGCGTAACCCTCGTAGCCCTCGCACTCCCTGCGTAACCCTCGGACTCCTCCCTGCGTAACCCTGGCACTCCTCCCTGCGTAACCCTCGTAGACCTCGCACTCCCTGCGTAGCGCTCACTTGGCTGCTCACCTGCTCACCGCTTGTATGATGATCACACCTCCTTAGCAAGGAGGACTCCTCACTGGCAATCTCACCCTCCTATTACCCCAGCCTCACCTTCCTCCACCACCCTCACCACCCTAGCTGATTATCACATAATAGGTGCTAATAAATATGGAAGAAATGAATGTATTCTTTTAACACTTGGACTAAGCTTCCCTCCTGGGCTTTACCTCCCCATCCCTACGTCATCAGCTGGTCCTATCTGCTCTCTCTCTCTCTCTCAAATATGTCCTGACTCCATCCACTTCCTACCGTTTCCATGGCCAGGCCGTCGCTGTCTCTCACCTGGATTACCGCAGCAGCTTCCTAACCAATCTCTTTGGTTCTGCTTCTCCCTCATTGCGGCCTGTTCTCCCCACTAGAGCCAGGTCATGTCACCCCCTAGCTCTGCTCATGCCTCATGGCTTCCCGTCACTAGAAGTATGATCTCTAAACTCCTTCTAATATCCCCAGGCCCTGCCATCCTCTGGCCCCTGCCTCCTTCTGGACCTCCTCTGGTACTCTCTTCTCTCCCATTCACTGTGGCCTGGACACACCCACTCCTGGACTGTCCACTCGCTCAGGACCCTATTTGTCCCTCTGCCTGGTATGGTTTTCCTCAGATCATGGTGTGACTGCTTCACAACATTTGCATCAGCTCAAATACACTTTCATACAAATTTCCTCCCATGTTACCTCATCCAGGAGGCCTTTTCTAATGGAATATGGTAATCCAATGTAGCTCAACCCCCAGCCAACCCCTACCCCACCATCCTGCCCTACTGCCTTGGTGATACTCCTCACTTTGAAATTGCTCAGTCACTTAGAATGCTGCTGTCATGTGGTTTCCATGTTTACTGCCTGTCTTCCTCCACTGGAATATAAGCTCCATGAGAGCAGGGCCCTGCCTGTCAAATTCTGTTTGGATGCCCAAGTTCTGGCATGCAGCTGAATGAATGAATGAACTTAATTAAAGGGTTCCAAAAAAAAAAAAAACAAAACTGAGATCCTAAATAGTCATTCATCAGCCAAACCAGGTCACTGGGGAGAAAGAGCAGAAGCACCAAAGGGCATAGAGAAGTGACCATCAGTCATATCGTGGCTGGACTTTGATAATTACCCACCCGTAGATTGCATTGTTCAGCCAGATCTTCCAGCCATAAAAACTCACTGGTGGAAGAAATAATGATCAAGAAAATCTATCACTGAAGGCAGTAGAAAGTTAGGGCAGGGGTGAGTGTTTTATCAGCTCCCGAATAATCACCTACCTTCTTTTTGCTCAGTTACAAAGAGCCCATTGTAGTTGGGACTTCCTGATAACAAGGGATTCTTTCCTAATTACTGTATGCTCTATTTCAGGTTCAGCAGAAAAGAAAATTGAAAAGCTCCATTTCACTTTGGGTTCAAATGAGTCAATCTTTCAGTCAATCAAGTATTAATTAAGACATGCTAGGAAATACGGGGAAGGTAAAAGACATCCTCTCTTGTCTCAAGGATGATACCAGGGAAATAATTAGAGAATAATTTAAGAGCAATGAAAAGAATTTTAAAAAGCCTTCATTGGACTTTCTTTGATTTTCTATTATGGACGGTCTGGAATCTTGAGCTCCTTTATTCTTCTTTACAATTTTCCCTTCCCTCTTTCCTTCCTTTTCTCTCTTCTCATCTTTAATTACCTTGTCTCCAAAGGGTCCAGGCTATACGCTCTAAGAATAGTTAGTTCTCTTCATATTACCCTTAGGATTAATCGTGAGAAATTATGTCTGATTCTCTGAAAATTCCAACTGTACTAAATGTGAGTGAATACAATATCTCCAGTCTGTTAGCAAGTCAACCTCATATTTATCTCCTCATGATCAAGGAAATTTCCGAATTTTTCTTCTTATATGCCAGACAACTTGTACTCAAGAATTTTGCTGGCATGGGCAACATAGCAAGACCCTATCTCCACAAAAATAAAAATTGAAAAAATTAACCAGGTGTGATAGCACATGCTTGTAGTTCCAGGAGGCTAAGGCAGGAAGATTGCTTGAGCCCAGCAGTTTGAGGGTACGGTGATTGCATCTCTGCCCTCCAGCCTGGGTGACAGAGTGAGACTTTGCCTCCAAAATAAATTAAAAAAACAAAAAAATCTGCCTCTACCACTAACATGGTGTGGGGTCTGGGAAACATTCACTTAAGTGCTTTTTCAGTTTATTCTTCTGTAAACAAAGATATGAGCATATTTCGCAGAGGGTTAGGTACCTTATTCACTGTTATATCATTTTACTTTCAGTATCTGGTACCCAGGGCCTGGTAGAAAGTGGGCTGGCAGTAAGTACTTGCTGCATGGATAAATGAATTAATACATTGCTGGGCAGAATAAATGAGATAATGTGTGTGAAGCATGTTGTGTAAATATATGTCACACAGTGGGTGCCTTAAAATTGCCTTGACAACTGTGAAGCACCGTATTTATGATACTATTCACGTACATGAAAGGTGAAAACATCCATTTGTGAGAGAATTATTTTGCTCTAATTAGAGTTTGGTCAGCTTTTCACTGAATTGGCGTAGATGGCGAGTTAAGCAACTCCTAGGGAATCAGGGCAGCCACCTTTGCCTCTCCCCTGCTTTCCTGCAAACTTTATTTCCATTCACTCCCAGCTGCTTCTCCCTCTTTCAGCCCTCCTGACCTCCAGGATTGCATTTCTTAGGGGAGCCTTGTATTGTCCATCACTATCAATTTTCTTCTCTCCATTTCAGCTAGAATACTCACCTGTTTTCTTCTGAAAGTACTCTTTTGACTTAGATACTTCAAGAGGCCAAAACCTCAAAACAGAGGGTTGGCAACAGTCTCATCACCTTTCACAGCAGTGGGAATGATCTGTTGAATAAAAAAGCCACATTTGCTGAGTTCTTACTAAGTGTGCAACTCTGTGTGTGGAATCAAGGGTTTACAGACATGGTCTCATTCAGTAATTCAAAGGGTAGGCTTTTTCTATGCCCATTCTACAGATAAGGAAACTGAGGCTATGAGAGACTAAGTGATTTGCCCAAAGACATGGAGCTACTCAAGTGCAGAAAGAGGTTTGACGCTAGTCCTCTCTGAGTCCAAAGATCCTGCTGTAACCACCATTCTCAGAATGCTGAGGACTTTAATTTCTGGATCTTCAAAGATGATGGGGTGTTCACTTAATTATTCATCCATCAACATGTAAAAGCCTGCCACGTGCGTCACACCCTGTGGGTGCACTCTTGATTCATATGCTTTCTGTGACCTCAAGGAGCTCATGTTTTCATAGGACCAAACATGCCGAAGAGAAGTGTAATACAACATCATATGTATAACACACATAACCCCAAATACGCTGGGCCCTAAGGCATGAAACACCGTTGAGTATGTACAGCACTTACTAGCAGTCTGAGAGCTATATCCAACCCACAGGCACTTTTACTTCCTATTATTTTTCTGCTTCCTTCGGTTTCACATCAAATTCTCAATCTTCAGCTAGTCCTAAGATTCGGCCACACTAACCTCTCACATGGCCACAATCTGCTGGAGCTTTAAAAGGGCCCATGTTCTTTCCATTCCCCCACACCACACTCCAGTCCCCATCCTATTCACCCGCCCGGTCCCTACGAGCATTTTAAGCTCACCTCCCCTGGATTATAAACTCCCTCAGGAGTAGGGACTATGGTACACATTCTCTGTGCTGTCATCTTTGTAGAGGAGAGCCATGCAGGGCGCTTAAAGAATATAAATTAGCACAAAAGGCAAGCCTCACATAGCAGCTGTAATCTACAGTTTGATGGACTGATTGTGATCTGTGGTTAGTCAGACAAATGATAAGGATGAGGGATGTTTGCAAGAGGAATTAATGCATCTCAAAATGCCCCCGGGGCACAATACAAACAGCTGACCCAAGGGTGCAATGCGAAGAATGTTAAGCGAGGAGTCAGAGGATCCTCTCCCAGTCCCAATTCAGTTGTCCTCTAGGCCTCTGACCTTGGGCGAAATCAGTAAGCTTTCTGAGCCCTTTCCTCATCTGAGAAGTGAGGTGATTACCCATCCCGGATATCTCTCAAGATTATTGTGAAGAACAGACAAGACATGTGGAAGAACACCGGGCAAGGAAAATTGCAATCTCAATGCAAGGTAGTGGTGTTTTAGGGGATTATATTAAAAGTTTGAATTAAAGCTCCAGGCAGAACACTAAGCTGCTCTTACTGATGCAGTCCTCCACCCTCCTATCCCCTGCCTTTCCCCGAGTCTTTTATGAATCATAGTTATTAGGAGTTACATTTCCAATGTAGAGAATTCATAGGGGAACTCATAACACTCACATTCTCTTTGTCATCTGTACATATATGTACATGATCTGACCACATCCTGGTATTAGTGCTAATAAAACCTGTAGCCATGGTTACGGTGAAATATCTTGGTTATACAGTTCTCCTTTTCACTTTTCAAAATTGTTTGGTGAGGATTTTGGAGCCAGTGTTTGTGGGTGTGGTAAAGTGTCTAGGTGAAGTTTTATTTTTGGAGAGCTAGAAGCTGAGGCTCTGAGGTCATCTGTGAGTTAGGAGCGGCTGAGCTGGGTGTTGCCGTTTCTGTTCCACAAACAAAGGGAAACCTCTGCTTTTGGCCGACTCCAAACACTGATGCTTAAGTGTTCAAACGTCATATCCTCTTGGAGGGAAAACTGTTTTTTGAAAAAGCATGAGAACAACCAAACACTTGTATCATTCAGGGTCTCCCACACAGGTGGTAATTAAAAGTTGCATAACTCTCTTTAATACTAGAGACAGGAATTTAAGAGTTCTGCAAACTTTGTGGCAATAACAGAATGACTGACATATTTATTTTTCTCAGTGGTGGTGGGGGAGACATTTATAGGCTGGAATAGCTGAAAACTAATGGAGTGGTAAAAATGTACAATTAGGCAACTCAAAAGTGATACAGATATGGTTCTATTTTCCTTTCCATTTTGTCCCTTCATTTAATGTTAACAAAATTTCAGGGCAATTAAAAACCAAAAGCTACCTTACTGCAATATTAAGGCTTAAAATGCAAAGATCAGATCATAGAGGAAGTAAGCATAAATATTCTCATTCCAATAATAACTCACCTCTGTGGAATATTCAGTGTGGTGAATTTCAGATTTACCAGGCTTTCGATTGCAGCCTCCGCCCCAGAGGGCGAGCTGTGCAGCGGAGTTCATGTGTCTGAGGATGAACCTTTACTTCCTCTCTGCATGGGGTTAAATCTGCATTCCTAATGTTGCAGGGAGTTTTCTTTTTTTTTTAATGGTTTTGGTAAATACTGGTTGATGAATGCAGAGGACATGTATGAATGAGTGAAAATACTGAGTACCCATCCAGTGTCGGGTAAGTAGCATGCTTTTTTCCTCTTTTTTTCTTTTTTTTTGCTGCAGCAACTTCTTTCTTTGATACAGATGACATATGCTTAGTCTCATTACGTGCAGCTTTAGTTGCCTCTGTGAAGATATTGTCCCTAAGAACAGCTGTCACCTCTTTCCTGATGCCCTCAGCATGCCCAAACATTTTCTTCTCCGTCCTTGAAACGCCCTTCCCAAAGGAGACTGTAGGTATTGCAAATACTTGAATTGGGAGTATGTATGGAAGAAACTGCTTAAGCTGGGGATTGCAGGGGGGGCCTATATTTACTCCCCTAGACAGAGGGTTCCCTCAGCCTTATCTCCTTATTCCTCCCCATCCACCACCTGTGCCATCCATGCCTGGAGACCTCAAGGCTTTGTGGGAGATGCTCTGGAAAGCAGTTAAGGCCACTGGGAGGTGGGTGGGGTGGTGGGAGAGGCCAGGGAACTCAACCCTTGTCTTTGGGCTCTCCATGGCGTGGCCTCAGGACTGAGCTGTCTGCAGGCTGTACACCAGTCTTTAGGTTTTATCTCCCCCTAGCAGCCCAGATACATTTTTTTATCAGACCAACCCTCAAAGTATCAGGGTCTTGAAGAAATAAGATGTTAGGTGGGAATGCTTTGATAGAGCAAAACAGCCTGAAAGTTAGACCCTGCGCATGACAGTTAGAAGGCAGAAGATGCCCTATGGATGGCAGTTGGCCTAGAGCAGCCAGAGAAGAAAGTGGATGTCCTTGTAGTGCCTAACAGGGGTAGGCAGTTATGCTTCTCAATGGAGAGTCTGTGGGGCCCAGGCCTCCTGTTCTGGCTTTGACTTTTATTTTTGATTTTACTTGTTTACATTCTCATAACTTGCCCTCGGAGCCAAATGCTTGGCTAAAGGGTAGTTTGAGTGCAGAGGAAGCTAACTGAGGAATGAGAAGCAGGTATGATTCACTCAGTGTGTGTGCTTGGGAAGGTCACTCAGCCACTTTGAGTCTCAGTTTCTTCAACTCCAAAATGGTGAAAAATCTAGAAGAATACACAAGAAAATGCTAGCATGTATGACCTCTTTGGAGGGAAACTGGGGGCCAGTGCCAGAAGGGAGACTGACTTTTCTGTCATTCCGTTGGTACCATTCAGAATGTCTGATCACGTGCACACACTTCCTAAATTAAACCAGCAACTGGAAGTGAGTACCTGCTCACAGCGGCCTTTGGCAAAAGCATATAGTGCATGTAATATGTGTCTGGACTGTTAAGAACTGTACAAACATTTAGAGTCATAATTAGTATTATTCCCCACCGTTGCAGGGGTGTGGCAAAAAAAAAGTCACTCCTCAATTCTGCCAGGTAGTCAAAGTGGCCTGAAATTCTTGGGAAATTTGCTTCAATGTTGGGAGGTCTTCCTGCCTCCAACCCAGAATGGCTGGATGGAGACCACCCCTAAAGCCGCTCCACGACCAGGCCAGCCCTTTCACCTACTTGTGTAGTGGAGCTGAGGCCCGCTGCTGGGTGACTTGAATCCTCCATGTGCACAAATGACCCCAGGTTTCCAAGGGCTAGCCAGGCATGTCCACTCTGGTGAGCAAGTTCTGACAAGCACATTCCATCCACTGCCAGGAGGCAGTGGGGCAGCACCTTCAGCGTGAGCAGAGGGAATAGCACCTACATTTGTGGCTGCCTTCTGCTTGACCTCTGGGGCTGGGAGAGCTTTGTATAAAATATGTATGTCTGCCTTAGGTTCTTTACTGAGTCCCTATAATAAAAATAACGCTGCAAGCATATTGTTCTGTATACATGAAGAGGCTAATAGCACTAACAATTGTTTGCATAAATGAAATATGCCATTTGAATGATTTTTCCTGTAGTTGCATGTAGATCTCATGTCAAGAAGTATTAGTTAAGCATTTACTATTTAACTGACATAGTGCTAGAGGGAAAAAGAAGTGTACGAACTGGTTCTTATCCTAAAAGAGTTTCTTCGTGAACCTTAGAGCACTGAAAGCCTGCTCTGCTTATCCAAGTGATAGGGCAAGTTGCAGAGCTTTATGAAACTCAGGCTCCTGGACTGTAAGATGAGAAGACAATGATAATAACATCAACTTCCCTCACCATTCAGTGTAGTTGTGAAAGTCAAATAATAATATATATGAGAGTTCTTTGTACACTGAAAATGTCCTGCAAAGTTGAATTTTCAAAACTAATAGCAATTAAATGCCAAATACCAGAAAGTGACAAAATGCAGGTACTATTAGAAAGGAGAGAGATCAATGCTGGCTTCGGTTTTATTGGAGCAGGGAACGGGGGACAGGGGACATCATGGAGGAGATGGAGGCTGTGCCAGCCCCTGGGCTGCGTGTGATCACATGGAGGGTTGGGCATTCTAGTTGGGGAAGGGCGAGCTGGGGTGAGCTACATAGGTTGCAAAAGACAGAGCACAGGTACAGAGTTCAAGATGGGGATGGCAGGGAAGAAGCCTTCTAAGGAAGAGTGGGAACTGAGGT